TTTCTTGGGCATAGTAATAAATACATTTCTGTATATCAGTTTGTATTGTGTCCCTGTTTGACCTTTGAACCTACAAATAAGGGTTTTTAAAGAGGTCATGGCTAAAAAACATTTGAGAATGGCTGATCTAAATGCTGAACTATTCATAATACATTACTATCTTTTATTTTCACTTATTTCATTGCCCCCACATTGGCTGGAGGTACAAAAGATTTAACAAATTGCATCAGTCATTTCAGCATTAAATGCCTTCTCTTATCTTCAAAATCAGATAGCAGCAGCAAATCTTAAAGTTCAAGGGTATAATCACTAATTATACCACATAGTAATTAGGGAAAATATCACTTCTCTTTTGGTACAGCAGCTTGACATAATGATCTACAATGGACACTTCACCCCAGAAAAATGATTCAGAACATGTACCTGTTTTCTTGCTTAAAAAGCTCAAATAAAAAAAAATGTTATGATCAAACTCAAAGTATTAATAAAAATATTATATTTATAACCCTTATTAATTCAATATTGATTATCTACCAACATATTTTCTATATATTTACTTTCATTCTTTACATTCCCAGGTCTTAAATATAAATAGTTGACTATATTTACACACATTTTGCATTTTCTATATATATATATATATATATATATATATATATATATATATATATATATATATATATATATATATATATATATATATATTTAAGCAGCATATCTTCATTGAAGCATATTTGGTTGAATAATCTGAACATATGTCTATTTATTTTTATTTTAATCATATTGAATTCTCTGATCAATTTCTTAATGTTGATATTAAATTCATTAAAGAAGAAATGTAAAAAAAAACATGGCACCTTCTTTAATGAATTTAATATCAATATTAATAAGTTGATCCAAGAATTTGAGAGGATTAAAATAAAATCAATAGACATAATGTGTCCTTATTATTCAACCAAAACTATCTATCTATCTATCTATCTATCTATCTATCTATCTATCTATCTATATATATATATATATATATATATATATATATATATATATATCACCTCCATCATATCATTATTTATTTATTATTTACTATTGCTATTATCTTAATCTATCATTATTTATAATTAGTTATTATTATTATTATCATAATTATTTTACTACTATTGTTATCATTATTATTCATTACTACTATTATCACTATCATTATTTATTACTCCTACTGTTATTATTATCATTATTCATCACTACCACTATTATATCCTCCCCAGCACCATTAGTATTAATTTTTACTTTTATCATTGATCTCATTATTGTAATTATTTTTTCATTCTTACTATTTCCACCATCATTTTTATGTTTACAGCATCCATTACCATAATTACCATTGTCATCATTGTCACATTTTTCACAATCATACATCACTTCAAGATTAGAGCCAAATTTACAGCTATCATAACAAAATGATGACAAATTAGAATACCTATTATTTGTACTATTAATATAAGTATAATAGTCTATAATACACAAGCAATCAACATTAAAAATAAAATCATCATATTTGCATACAGATCTCACTTTAAGCAATGTCATGATGTAAAGCCCAGGCAGTGAGAAAAAAATATATGTACAAGTATACATGTGTGCATGTGTGTATGAAGAAGTCTTATTCCATCTGACAACATAGTTGATGGACCTGAGAGATGATGAGAACACACACCAACACTCCCCTTGTTGAAAAAACTTGGCTACACCCAGTCCCAACATTGAAATAAGATTACAATTGAGTTGCGTATGTATGCGTACTCGAACATATGAATACATCTCTGCGCCTGATCCCGGATTGTTTATATATGTATATGTATGTATTTGTGTGAATCATAATATCTACACCTGTATGTTTGTATGTCTCTGTGTGTATGAGCATCATCCCAAAACTGACACAGAGAATTTCCTCCCCCATCAACACCAAACATCAAGCAAAAACTAACATAAATAGTCTGAAATTTAAAAAAATAAATCAGTTTATCTGAGATTTGCATAAGCGTGAAACCAACAGTCACAAACTCATATCCATTCAACTAAATATATATATATATATATATATAGTCGACTCTCCCATCGAGTTCGACATATGAGGGTCAAGCAGATCAGTTCCCAGGAAACTGACAGCCCGACAACAGCACATGAGATTTGATTATAGTGGTGAAGATTTTGTGCAGGACCAGTCACCCTTTTTGAAGGGCCGAATACAGAGATCTGGTGCACTAAGTGCCACAAGGTCCCCAAACGACCCTCCGCAGGTTTTGAATTTAGAATTTTCCTTCTCCTAGACCAGTTGCCATCCAAGGCTATAGAACCCAGTCTGTCCTGCTATTTACCCATAGCTGGAGGGAGAAGAAGAGGATTCAAACCTTTCCCAAGGGTATTAGCACGTAAGAATGTAATGGATTCGACTGGAATTCGAACTCGGCTCTGTGATTCCTCAATCCAAGCCGCTATCCATTACTCCACCGTGCCTCCTTCAAAAAGTGTGGCTGGTCCTGCATGAAACCTTCACCACTATAATCAAATCTCATGTGCTCTTGTCATCAATATAAGGTGTGATGCATTTACAGAAATTGTCTGACAGTCATGACTGGGTTTTCATGCTTGTGTGGCATAGTTAAGAACCCTGTTGCCAAAACATAGGGTCTTCCAACAGCCACCCTCTTGACTCAGGAAGCACTACCTCCTCAAGGTACTTGATGTTGGCCTCTGTGTTGGGTTTGAAGTCCTCACCAACAAACTCTGGAGTTCTTTTCTTATTAGAAAGATCTTATTAGAAAGTTTTCTGAGTTGTTGTATCTTTGTAATCGCCATTAAACTCATCCAACTCTTTCCAAGCAGTATAGCATACCATTTACAAATTTCTATGGTAAGGAGATGACTTCTTCATAATGTCAGTTTGAAGAGATTAATGCAGCATTTACCACAATTAGTGTGGGCTCAAAAACCATAATGCTGGTATACCCAAACTGTATAAGTGAAATTATATGAAAGACTAGCAGCATGGCCCGGCGTTGCCTGTGCTTGATTAAAAAATTGTACGACTAATACAGCAATCGCTATCACTTGACTTAAAATATTTTTGCCTTTCCTTGCCTTTAAAGGAATGTCCTTTGCCGTGCTGATGTTGCTACATGCCTTACTTCTTGCCTATTGCACACTGCAAATTTTTTCTAAGCTCTATACTAAACATTAAATATGTTACGAAAAAAGAACTAAACAAAATGAACACAAAACGATCAGCTTTAAAAAAGGACTCGTAACTGGAAAAACCGAATGAAAAAAGAATGTTAACAACAAATACTTTTTCACGCCCAACCCAGTTCTGCAGAATCAGAATCAACGTTGAGTTTAAGCAAGCGAATGAGCCAATTGGAGTAAAGTGCCATGCAGATTTAAATTTTTCCCACTTGTGACGAATGCAGCTATCGATTTTTTTTTTGCGTGCTAGCATGCTAGTTAACATTCGTGTCAGTCAGCTGTTGGCTCTCACGCTGGCCAATAGAAAATGGCCGCAAACTACATGAAAACTGCCGTAGAATCATGAAAAAATTGATTATTTCCACTATCGATGGGAGTTGGGAAATGCAAAGTCGGTCTTGGCTTTCCTGCTAACTTGGAGCATGTGCATGTAATTTTTGGTGCAAATCCGTCGAAAATTGTGGCCGTGCATTCATTACACACACACACACACACACACATCCTGTCTTTTATAGATAGAAATGGTTGTGCTAGCACAAAGTCAAGTCATCATGACTGAGAAATCAAATATACTGACCTTGTTCAGCTACTGATCACACCAGATTATGCACTGTCTCCCAGAAACTGTAAACACTCAGCCAAGTTGTCCACTCCCAGAAACTGTTCACCCAGCAGAGTTGCACAGTAAACCACAGGTTGGCTCAGTGGGGGTTGAATCCGACACTTGACAAAAAAGAAAACGAAATAGTCAATAAAAACAAAAAGTTGTATATGCAGAGACCCGACAGTTTATTTAGCATCAGTTAGAGTTACATATTACATTATTTTTCAATGTAACCGCCGGCGGCGGCGACAACCGTCTCAAGGCGGGCGCGAAATGAGTCACACGCTTTGGCGACCATGTCCTTGTCCATAGCGGCGAACGACTCCATGATGGCATCCTACAGAGAATCGATCATGTTGCAGGCGTGCTTGTTGGTCTTGGCCACGATCACGTCCCAGAAGAAATAGTCAAAGTGGGTTGTAGTCGGGTAAGAAGGGCGGCCACAAGTCCGGCGACCAGTGGCGAGGAACATTGTTGAGCAGCCACGCCTGGGTCGTCTCGGCCTTGTGTGTAGGAGCGGAGTCCTGCTGGAAGAAGTAGGGGCGTCCGGCAGCGATCTCGTCCATCCAGGGCTTCAACATGCTCCTCAGCACCTCCTGGTATATCTCAGGAGTGGCTCTCAGGCCCTTTTGAAAGAAGAACAGGGGTATGGCGTCCCCCTTGCTGGAGATGACGCCAAGGACAATGACGGAGGAGGGAAACTTCGTATGCTTCACGACGGGAGCCTCCTCGATGTCTTTGCAGATCCACCTGTCGTTCTGCCTGTTGCTCGTCTGGTGGTCCTGGATGAAATTCTTTTCAACAGAGAACCTCAGCATCCCGATGGACCCGTGCTTGAGCTCGTTCAGCAAAGCCGCGGTCTTGACCTTCTTCGACTCCTTCGAGACATCCGTGATGAGCATGCCGTGAGACTTGCAGTAGGAGGAGTAACCAATGTCCTTCTTGATCGTTCGGCAGATCATCGACTTGTGACAGCCCATGTCAGCGTCGATCTTGGCGTAGCTCTGGCTTCCATCATTGTCGACTGTCTCCTTGACGGCGGCGACGAATTCGTCGGTCCTAACGGCCAAAGAACGAACGTTTGTGTGCCTTTCGTTTGGCAGTAAACTCGTCCTTGTTCTCACACGCCTTCCACTTCATCCAAATATCCATGACCATGGTCCTCTTGAGCCCAAACCAGGCCATCACTTCCGCAGGCTTCTTCCCGACGCGAAAAGAAGCTACTACCGCTGGTCTGCGCTCATTTCTATCTTGGAAAAGGGTAAAGAGAAAAACGTTAGTTGTCAAAGTGCCGTGTGTCTGCATATACAACTTTTGTTTTTATTGCCTATTTCGTTTTCTTTTTGTCAAGTGTCGGATTTTGCTGCAACACCCTATATATGTAAGCAACTGTATATGGATATAGATCCGACAGAATGAAGAAAAATTTGGAAAAAACAAACAAAAATCCTTAAATGCAATTATGTTGTTTAAAATGAATGAAATGTCGACGTATGACGTTTGTTTTGATAAGTCTAGTTTTTATGGACAATATTTGTTAAAATATAATTGAATTGTATTTTAACGAATATTGTCCTGAAGAAGGTTTATTAAAATGAAACGTCAGACGTCGACATTTCATTCATTTTAAACAAATATAATTGCATTTAAGGATTTTTGGTTTGTTTTTTTCCAAATTTTTCTTCATATATATATATATATATATATATATATATATATATATATATATATATATATATATATTGTAAGTCACAGATGTGCAAGTGGCACACACACATTGTTAGAATCTGCCACTCCGTTTTCTTATTTATATTCAGTTTTTTCTGCTGTCATTTGCACACTTAACATTCAATCTGAGTGCATCAAAGTTTGCCCTTTGCACAAAGTTTTCTGACATGTTTGTACCTATTCTTTGTGTTTTTGTCTGATCTCTTTTTGCACTATCCTAAACATCTTATCCATCCTTGAACTGCTTGTAAAGACCTAATTTCTTCATAGCATGTTCACCATAAGACGTTTTTAATTGGGCTAACATTTCACTAGCACTTTTACCAATCTTCACACAAAACTTGATGTTAATTTACTACTTCAGATTTTTTAAATTCATTTTCCTCCAACAGTATAGCATGAACACATAGAACTTCCTCTACTGCTTGGTAACAAATGACTCACCTGGTCTACATCTCAAAAAAGTAGAAGTTCAATATATATATATATATATATGAGGTGTGATAGGTAGAGGGTTACTGAAGAAGTTTATTGTATCAGCAGTAAGAGTAAGTGGTAAGAGGCACAGTTTATGACGATATATGGGAAAGATAAAGATTTGAACAGGTTAAGATTGTAGTGGTCAGGAAAGCATCCACTTAGGAGTCGATTCCACAAGGCAGTACTTCATGGGAAAAAGCTATTCAAGTGAAACTTACTTCTCTTTAATGGAATATGAAAAGAATGAGGGTGCTTCGATATAGTTTACATGGCATGGCAGGGCTTAGCTATGAAGTTTAGAACTGGTGGAATCAAGTAATGTATCTTGTCTAAACATTTTCCATGGAAATAGAGATAGAGCAGTGACAGGCTTGCAACCTTTTTATTGGTGGGAAAGGTGTGTGTATATATATATTTATATATTCTGTGTATTTAGGCAGCAAATTTTCTTTAAGGCAAATATTATTAAAGACAACAGACATTTTGTGTCGATTGATTTTACTGATCGACTTTTCCTTATTACACACAAGGAAGAAATTTCATCAGAAGTTGTCCAAAGTTCATTTCAAAAGAAATATGGTCCAAACTTTTGACTTTTTTAATTCTGCTTCAGGTTCGGTAGAGACAAATGGTGAATTTTGTAGAACTAACAAGTATTGTGACATAGGCAAAGAGTCTTGCGACATATGCAAGGTGTGATGTATGTTTTATTTTTTTAATATACATTTGAGAATGTGGGCAATTAATTATAATTGTTTTTACTTATAGTTGTTTTTATAATTTAAGAGCACATCTTCAAATGTATATAAAAAACAAAAACATGTCACACCTTGCATACGTCACAACACTCTTTGCTTATGTCACAACAAACACACACATATATATATGTGTGTGAGTGCATATATATATATATATATATAGATATATAGATAGATAGATACATAGATAGATTGTGTGTGTGTGTGTGTTTTTTTTAATCATTTAACCCTAAGCAAGGTGATAATGCTGCTAAGATGCAAGAGGTTACTGGGAGTAAAAAAGAACAAAAATGATTTTGGAAGGACATGGAAACCCAGTCCTAAACAGGAAACAAGGGATAAAACTCTACTCCTGTTAAAAAAACTGGGGAGAAGTGTGAACTGGATGACAGGTGAACCTATCTATTGGTAGTTATAAATACATTGTAGAAAGTCAACTTACAAAGTTATTAGTCACAAATATTATGGGTCACAGTTTTTGTAAGTTATAAAATTTGTAGGTTGCAAAATCCATACATACATATATGCATATATGTAAAAATCATATGCACATACATAAATATATATATTATCCATAGATATTAGATATAAAATCACAGAGACATCAACCATATATATATATATATATATATATATATATATATATATATATATATATATATATATATATATATATATATATATATATATATATATATATATATATATATATATATATATATATATATATATATATATATATATATATATATATATATATATATATATATATATATATATATATATATATATATATATATATATATATATATATATATATATATATATATTTATATGATGTAACAGTGACTTTTGAATACTAAAGATTATATTTTGTTTAATGATTAGCTTAAAATTCAACTGCTGAAAAGACATTTTCTTTCAAGGAAATATAATCTCAGTGTGATACTAATTCAATCTCACTCAACTCTATATTCCCTGAAAGAACTTTTTGTCTATTCCATGACCTACCTGAAGAATTGTTAAAACATTTGTGAAATGGGTCACTGACATTTTTTCATTGGAAAATTAGGGTCAATACTTTGAAGAAAATAAGTGAAGTGAATTGAATATGAGTAGATTAGTAGATTAATGTGATTAACATTAAGTACTGAACTACATGCAGTGACAAGGAATAAGATTACATTGAAAAATAAATACTTGAGTAAAATAAATGCTTTATTCATCTTTGGGATGCAAACTTATTAATATATTGCAAAGTTTCCAATTAGCTTTTAAAAATTATAATTTTTTAATGTGCCATGTAAAATATTGCAGAATTGCCAAGAATCTATCTATCTCTGTTCATATCTATCTATCTCTGTTCATATCTATCTATCTATCTATCTATCTATCTATCTATCTATCTATCTATCTATCTATGTCATGTCTGTCTTAGTAGTAGTGATTCCTGATTTAGGTACAAGATGAAAGTCCTTGTTCTACCATTCTTTACAAGAAGGCATAATCTAAACCTTCAGTTTAATTGTATCAAAATAGGAAGTGAACCAAAAGTCAACTATTGGAGTTTTCATTGGTAAAATTAATTAACTAATGAATATGAGCAGATATGAAGATAGTCAATAAAGATGATATTTAGCTGATAAATGAATAAATAATAAACAGTAAAAGTGAAAATGAAAGTTCTTGATTATTATGAAAGTGAAAGTAGCCAAAAAGGATCAAGAGAAAATGCTAAACCTTTACTGAATGAGTTCAAAATTCTTTGTCTACAAAGCACTTAATTTATTGATTCAGTGTTAGAATTGTTTTCCGACCCTGTTCAAAGAAAGCTGTGTTATACAAATTATCAATTAACTACTTCAGATCAGAATATTTTTCTGTTTTTGTCCCCAGCTGAGATTAAAAACAACAAAAAAAAAAAAAACAATTTAAAGGAAAATATCACTTTTCTCTCTGAGGATCATTTATATTTTACATGTCAATGTATGAAATCACAGCAATGAAGTTTCCAAGGACAATCATTACTTTCACTGTCTTCATCACTATTTATGACCTGTCTTGAATCTTAATCTAATTCATTACCAGAATACAATGACCAAAGACAAGGAAATTTCCTTTGAGATATCCTCTCAGCTGATATGAAAAGGTTAATTGTTTAGAAGTAAAAACAAACTAATCATCTATATATGATTTAATATTTTAATCTGTCTTGAGGCCTTCATTTCATATTTCAATGTCATTGTTTGAATTAGTAGAGTTTCCTTCCAAGATAGAGTTTCAGTCTCTGAAAACATTTGGAATTTTAAATGATAATTATGATAAAATGATATGAGTTTTGTCATTATAAAGGAAAGTTAACAATTTGTCCTTATAAATGCAACTGAGTTAAAAATTTGTTATAGGGTAAATGATTTAACAATTTGTCATTGGCAACTGTGTTAACAATTTAGCATCAATTGAGGATTTTCAACAGCAGCCACAACTAAAATAGATAGCACATGAAACTCAAAGAGAAAATAATGACATAATCAAGATGTTGACATTCCACATTACTTCAAACAAAAGGCTTGGAAGAAAGTGCCCATCAATACTAGAAAGAACAATAACAGTTAGTGGACATGAGAAACTTTTTTACTGAAAAATTGTTTTAATAGAAAGATTTTATAAATTTTAACTGACAGTAGCACTGGTTGTTTGATCAATGGATACCAAATATATCCATATAAGGAAATGGCTAATATTACCATTACCATTTGGGTAAGAAGAAAGAAAGTTATCTCTGTTGGTATTTAATGCAAGGTTGACAATTAGGAAGCTCCTACCAACTGCCTGGGAAATTAAGATAATTATAGGAGAAGGATCATTTATCCATTTTTTCTCTGTCAAGCATTATGACATGCCAGTGATGAGAGACTTTCTCAAAATATGATGAGACAGAATGCATGAATAAGTGAATTCATACCTTTCCCAAGAGCATTAGTGTGAAGTAAATATCAACCAAAATTCAAACTTGGTTCAGTGTTTATATTTTTCATAAAGGAGGTATTACCCAAAAGGTCAAGAAATTTAAACAGTATATGTGAACCAAATGTAGCAAAACCTTTTGCCACTACTTTTTGTAAGTAATAATCTTGATGAACAAGTGTGCTTGCTTGCAAAAGAATGACTTCAAGCAAGATGGTGGACACTAGGCGTTATGGTTCAGGTTAATAATTTTTTCATGGTTAAATTCTTTGAATATTGTCGTAGCACATTGATGTTTAGCAAAACATTTGCTAGTGTAGTGAGTGTAATCTTCACTAGCTGCCATATTACATTGATCTGGAAAATTAAGATTAGTTCAACATGTTTAGAAATCTCTAAACTGTCAGATGTATACAACTGCTGTCTCAGAGCAATGATTAAAAATGGCTTCCAGTAAATGAACCCTGTTGGTCTTAGGGAGGACCATCCTTCTTTGTATCTCATGGACTTGTGCGTCAGAATCACAAAGATCTTTGCCAAATGACAAAAACCACATCACTTAAGAACTTTTTTCTAATACTGAAGTTTGCTTAATACCAGGCTCAAGAGCCACTTAAGTTAGAGGGTTTCTGTTCAAATGGTTATTATGAATGAGGTGAGATATGAGTGAAAGAGGAGGTGATTGGAAGAAGATTATTAGGATAAGAAGGATAGATAACAGTTAACACTTGACATGAAGAGGTTACAATTGTAGTATTCAGAGTAAATATCTATGGATATTTATATCTGTACAATGGTTTTAGAGTGGTCAGTCTTGGAGATCATTTTCAGTGAGTTTATTCTTATCTTGCTGCCTTATTTTTATTACCTTTGCTAAATTTAGTCAATGTTATATGATTTTGTAAAATAGATTTTAAAAACTTAATTTTTTTCAATTAGTAAATTGATTTAATGATAATATTTATTTTCATATTTTTTCAAGCTTTTAAAAGAATTATCCAGAGAATTTTTCCAACTAATATTATTAATGAAGTAAAGAAATAAAAATATTAAAAATAATTTTTGAATTAGTAAAAACATTTAAATTACAATTGTTTTCAATAAATTTGATTTTTGAAGTTGTGATAAATATGCATTAATAGAACTATTGCTTAAAATGATTTTCTTATTTTTAAAAAGTTTGTTTTCAATTCTAGAAAATTCGACTACCGTTGTACGCATCCGTAAGTTTAAAAATGCAACCGTTTTCTCGTGAGCTGGTGCAACAAGGCCGTTGTCCAATGGACAAGAGACAGGTTGAAGAAACGAGGCTTAGTACTTGTTCAACGCTGATTGGTCAGAAACGGTTTCGTGTTGCTTTCTGATTGGTTCGTTTCACACTATAGGGATTCCCCTGCTTCAAAAGTTGTGGCTTGGCGGCGCTGTCAGGCCGGCGTTAATGAACACCGGGGGTTTGCTTGGGTCGTAGGCACACATAACAAAAACACTCAATATCTGGCTTTACTTCTCAACATGCTTAAAAAATTTACCCTTTTAGGGATCCTTTGGATTGTCCTATGGGCCGGTAAGTATTTGCATTGTTACTTGAAAGCGAATACAAAATAAATGTGGAATTTATTTTCTATCAAATGGCGAGTAATGTAACTACTACTTACTAGTATTACAGAGTTATTTTTTTTTTTTTAATAACCTGTAGTAGTTTCTATTGCGATGAATATTTTTTTCTTTTGTTTAATGTTAATCTTTTAAAATTTGTAATTCAAGTTTTTTTTTATCAACTCTGAAGTTTGAGAACGGGTAATTCTAAATAAGTGAATATTCGCAATTCCGTTGTCTTACAGACTCGTCAATTGGAATAACATGCCCAGTTATGGTCAAGCTAATCTCACACATCGGCATTTGGTTCTATTTTTTTATATAAGACTTTACTTTATTCACATATTTCTTTCCATTCACGTTTCTTATTCAAAATGAATCTCGAAAAAAAAAAAATTATGGTATCTTTTAGATCTTTAAATATTACAAACGATTCCATGTTTTATCTCCCCCCCCCCCTTCTATTTTTCACTTTTTTTTATCATGGTATATTTTCCTTAGGGAAATCTGAAAGATTCCACCCCTCTTTTTTTTTTTTTTTTTTTTTTCGCCTTACGATTTCACTTGCTCATTTAAACTTACACTTCCACTTTTTTCTCTAGTTATTTTTAAAAGGTAAAAAAAAATTATGGCGTTCTTCTTCAGTTGTAAATATAGATATAAAATTCTGGATCTTTGAAAATTGTTTACTATTCAAAGTTGGTTATGATTTTTCTTTTCTTTTTTGTTAGTTATGATGTTTTAGTTGTCTAGATCAAATAGTTAACTAAAACAATTTTTGAAATTGTCAAATCAGGACTAACGACGCAAACTTTTTGGTTTAAAAAAAACCCCCAAAAAACGCCGGTTTAACAGAACTTAAAAAAATACAATTACATGTGTCATCAATGTCTCTTTCTTTATTATTCACATTAATTCTTAATCAGCAATATAATCGGCTTTTTTTTTTTTTATCTTATCAGATCCTTGTACAATATACTAAGTTAAGACTGTAGTGTTGTAAACTATTTAAGTTTGACTATCATCCACTATTTTTCTTTTTCGCAGATCCCTTAAAAGAACACCCGCAGTTAATTTGACTTCGGACAATTTGATGGCGATTATTTTATTTTATTTTTTTTAAGCAGTTTACGCACTTGTGCAGAATTTTAAATTTCTAAAACAAAATGATCCCCCATTTCAGTTTCTTTCTAATCCTGTTAATTTTTTTTTTTTTTTTTTTAATGCGAAAATTCTGATTCTCCCAATCACTCCCCACCTCTGCTTTTCCTTATTGAAATAGAGGTTTTTTTTTTTTTTTTTTTCTTTCCAGATTTTGAACTGAAAAATTCTTGAACGGCTTTGCTTTACTGTTAAAACCTTTTGATTTTTCATCCCCCGGAATTTTTTAGTGTTTTGCCAATGAAGTATATTTTCCACCGAATAGAGATAAATAATCTGTACTCTAATAATTGGTCATCTAAATTAAATAGGACCTACATTCATTCTTTTCTTGTTTAACTGAAGAAGTGGATCAACCACGTTTGGGCGCGTCACTGTATCACTCACATTTATGATTGACCCATAAACTCCCAATCGATATTTTTCTATGCGGTTGGGTCCTCCTGTGTAAACATAAACAACCTTGCCCCCTTAGTTTCTCTAATTTAACAATTTTTTTTCTGTTTACTTTTGTGAATATGCGATGCATACTGCCTTTTTTCTTCAAGTTTTGTTAGCTTTTTTTGTTTTTGTTTTCAACAATGAGAAAAAAATTAGTTTTTTTTTAATGCAAAAAAGAACAAAAAAAAAAAGGTAATACTACCGAAGGCGTTGAAGTTACCCCTAAATTTTTTCCTAGTTTTTATAACAAAGAAAAAGCTCGAACGAAAAAGTTTTAATTTTTTTCGCTCCTGTTGTTTTTTTTTTTTTTTTTTTTTTTTTTTTTTTTCCCTAAACGTTTTAACAGTTAAACCTTCGTATATCGATTTTTTTCTCTCTCTTCAATGGAGATTTCTAAAGATCTGTTTGACTATTACTTATCGAACTTGTTTTTGAACTTTTTTAACCGAAATTGTTTTTCTTAAATTAGTTCGTTGGTTTGTTGATTCTAGAAGAAAAAAAATCTGATGTTGACAATATTTTTACTTGATTTGTAGAATGACTGAATAAAAATGTTTTGTAGAATCTGTTTTGATATTGTTTGGAAACAAATCTTTTAAGTTTTTAAAATGTAATTTGTTTCTAACTGCTTAAGAAGGGTTTCCAAAGTGTTAATCGATGTTTTCATTTCAACCTCCTTTTGTTAGAAATGTAATTAATTGTAAGTTGATGAATGCCTTCATAACTTCTAAACAATATTTCTTTATTCTTTGTTTACTAAACTTCTCTAGTTTGATAAGTTGCGTTTATTGGTACGTCAGAATAAAACATCCATACCCTCTTTAAAAGTAGAGAAATAATTACAATTGTAATTATTTCTTTACTAAGCTTTTTTTTCCCCTAAACTAGTTGTGATAAACTTGTAAATTTGAGAATCTTTATTTTCGACTTAATAGAAATGTGCTTCGTTTTTTGTAGAAGAATAATTCTTAGCTTGTCACTTCGTACTTCCAAGTAAGCACTTGGAAATGATCTAGTCGTCAAATTCTTCAGTGTTTCTTATGTCATTCTTGCTTTATTAAACTCGATCATAAATTTAAAATACAAGCTAATAAGAACCTTCACTTCAGCAATTCTTTCGCTCTGTATTTGTTTACAAATTTAAATGTTTTTGTTTTCAACACGTTTGTCTGTTACTTTGAATTTTCTCATTTCACAATTAAAATTTTTTTTTTTTTTTTTTTTTTTCAATTGTAATTTTCACAATTACTTGGACGAAGTAGTAGACTTGTTTGAAAGCTCTGACCCCAGAATTTATCAAAAAGCTAACCTGGGTCATAAAAGTGTAAAGCTTCTCACTTGACTAAAAACAATTGATATTTTTTTTTTTTTTTTTTTTTTTTTTTTTTGTTTTTAAGTTTGTTTCTCCAGTTTTAAGTTATAGACAGTGAATAAAAATTCACTTTATACTCCATATTCTTATCTTGCACAGATGCGTACATCATTTGATACTGCTTTTTTCTATTTATTGCATTGCAGATTCCGCATTAAAACAAAATTATCTTGTTTTAGTACATGTTACATTTTTTTTTTTCTTTCAAGGATGAATGTTAAAAAGCAAACAAGCTTGCATTTGTTTACTTTTTGCGAATACTTTTTTTTTCTTGGTTTTCTAAAGCACACAATGACATTTACTAGTGATCTTAGAAAAAATTAAAAACACTAAATTTTTTGAGAATTTATTTTGCTTTTGGCATGTCCTTCATGATGTGCCGATTGTCCAAAAAAAAAAACTATTGGTTTAAGTAAAAAACGGTGCTTTTCATATTGACTCTATTTTTAAACGTTGTCTTTTTTTGTGAAGTCTCGTGTAATATTTCAGGCATATTCCCTCTTCTCAGGTCGGTACCACCACGAAAAAATAACGCTAAAAAATCAGCATAAAGTTAAAAAAAAGATTTGTCAAAATCATTAAGAGAAGGATCAAAGTATTTTTTATTTAAATTACTTTTAGTTTTAACTTAAGCAAGATATTCTGGTATAGTTTTCAAATAATTATTTTATGTCAGAATCCTTTATTGTCCACAACTAAAGATTATTTCAGTTTTAGTTAACTGTTAAGTGCCCATTCAGGCATATGCTTTGAAATTGGAAACGGAAGTTAATTTCAATTCAATTATCATGCATTCTTTTGTCACTTGTTCCTCAACAGCCCTTTTGAATAGATCTTTTTAGACTGGCCAAACTATTCAATTTGAAACTTGATAAAATATATTCTTTATGGTACCAGTTTCTACTTTCTTCTTTATTTCAAACTACAGTTATTTTTGGTATCAGATCTGTGCCGTCTCTCAAACGAAACACTTTAGTTTACGGCAGTTAAGAACGTGGATTAATGAGGATAAGGTCTTTGGAAACTGGAAAGTCTTACTCTTACTGTAAAAAAGCAAATGAAAGTGAAAATCATTTTCACTGACTCTAGTGCAGCCCAATGGGAAGGCCATTATTTTTATTTTTTTTTTTTTATATTTAAAGAAATGTTTTACTCTGAAAATGTTTGAAAGATCGTTTTCAACTTTGTTTTTGAATATCCTGTAACTTATGAAATGTTCTAGTGATCAAAATAAATTGAAATCTGTTGGTGTTCTGAATATGGAGGTTGTGGAAGAATTTTCCATCGTAGCAATCTTATTTATTCTTGGGTTTTTGTGTGCTCTTGCATTGTCATATTGGAGAATATCATCCTTTCTGTTCATAAGCGCAGGACACATTAAGTAATGTTTACCTGATTGTTCCTGGCAATAAACATCTGCAGTGATGGTTTTTTCCACGTTTAAGTTTGTAAACACCTTTGATTTCATCACACACACCACACACACACTTTTATAGTTAGTCCAGCTTTCACATCATGTGATAAGCACTTTTTAAAAAAAATTTTATTTTATTTTATTGACATGCAAAACCCATTTTTCATCACTTGTAACAATGTGATGCAAAAATGAAAGGTTAGCATTGGCATTCCTGATTAAGAGACAGCTGCAGATGCTATTGTTTAAATCTACATGGTTAGCTTTTTATCAAATGCTGTCCAGTCATAAGTTTTATAAATTCTTTCTTTTTAAGTAGATGATTTAGAAAACTACGGCTTTTCTCTTAATAAAGTCATGTAAATTTCTCTTCCATTTGAAACTCCTTTGATTAGTTTTTTTTTCCTTTGAATTTTTCCTGTTAGTCAAACAAAACTGATCTCTGTTAATAGATCTAATTGTGTAATGAGCTAACTGATATTACATTGCATGTCTTACATGTTTTATTTTTATTTTTTTTCAGCTTGTGCTGCTGCAGCTAGTGATGAATCACCAGACACAGTTACTGTTGAGGAAAATATTGGAAAGAGTCAAGAAGCTTCAAAAACAGATGATGAGGTCGTTCAAAGGTAAGATGATTACATTTGATCAAATCTAAAAGTATTATTGCATAGACAACTGTCCTTTTTGTTTCTAGAATTTGTCTATTTAGAGTGCAAACTGTTTCCTTATGAAACTATATGGTCAGAATGATTCTGGTTTTTTGCAAATACTTCATAATGACTTGATTTATTTTAATCAAATATGTAACTAGTATGAATTTTCTTAAGTAAAATGTGTAATTTACTAAGTTTCTCAAATAATAGTTGGATGAGTATTTAACTACTGTATAAATCTTTTAGAACTAGAAATAACTTGGTTCCTACTAAATTACATAATCTTGTGGCAAAAATGAATTCTGTTAATTCTGCTGTCTATTTAAAGATGATTTAATGAAATATCAGCCCTATTTGCATATTCACAACAAAAATTTAACTTTCCTTCAAATTTTAAAGCAAAAATTATTTTTGCGTTCTTACTATTATAAATTTACTAATGACATGCTACATTTAAAAAAATAAATTGCATTGGGTTGCCTTTTTCTCAATTTTTGATTAAAAATTAATTCCAAACTCTTAATAGAAAATTTACTTAATTGCTTTTGCGCTTATTAAATATCAAAAAAATGATAAACTAAATTAGTTTAATTTATACAATGTAGTGATATTTTTTCTTTATCAGATGTCCCTGTTAATGTGTATGTTTAGTTGGTTTGATGCATTCATTATATCTTTATTGTAGTTAGACAACTAATGAGGATATTCTTTCTCTGTACATGGTTGTAGTTACCTCAAGCTTATTTGTAAACTGATCTCCCACCCCATTTTTGGCTCTCAACAATCTCTTACACATACAGGCTGCTGCATTTGCTTAACATCTGAGTGGTTGCTAAAAGTTCTAAAAATATTCCCCTACTGTCATCCAATATACCTAAACATTACTAAATACATTATAAAGGACTATACAGTCATTTAGTTAGGTGACAGCCTGATGACTTCATTAAAAGAATTAAAGTTCTCACTTTTTGCTGTCTGAAGTAAAAGCTTCTCTTGATTTTCTTAACTGTTAAGACTTAAAACCATTAAATTTTAAATGACCTAGCTTAGATTAGTGTAAATATCTATGCCTTGTAAATTGTGAGGTTTGTGTAATATTTGCTACTTGCAAACTGGAAGTGTTAAAATGTTGGTATTCCAGTCTTTCTAATTCTTTTACTACAAAATGTCTGGTTAAAAATTTCTACTTCCCATTGTCAGAATTTGAAGAGATTAAAATAATTTTTCCTATTTTTTTCTAGTAAAATAAAATTCCTAAATGTTTTCAGTTGAAAAAATAACTTATTTTAATATAACACTTTGTAAATGACTTTATATTGCAAAGTCTCGTAATTGATTTGTCAAGAAAATTCTTGTATATTTGAGATCTGTGATTGAGCTACCAAGTTTGTGTGTGTGTATATATATATATATATATATATATATATATATATATAATTGCAGTAGTGCAACAAGGTCATTATTTTTCCTACTGCCACAAAAAAAAGATGCATTTAGCACTGCGTCTTTTGTCATTCAAACATCTTTAAGTGCTATTTTCAATGAAGCAGTGTTTCATTGCAATACTAATAATTTGAAATTCGTGACATCTGTACTGTACCTGACATCACATGCTTTGTTATCAAGACTAAGATAAAACTGGTAGTGCTATTAAGATCATAGCATAATTGTTCAATGTTAAAAAAAAAAAATTGTCATGCTATAATTTGGTTTGACACTTGAATGTGTATGTCTTACACACACACACACACTCTTTCTTCAGAAAGCAGTTTCTGATATTTTATCCAAATCCAGCTGATGTGAAAAACTGATAACAATTGATGGCCAGTATCTACCAGTAAGTTCTTTGAACACTGAATTTTTAAATTTTTTTTTTTTATTTATTTACTTATTTTAATTTTTTTTATTTGCCAGAGTACTTTTACCTTAATTAATATTTACATATAGTCTGTGGCCCACTTTGAAAGTAATCTCTGATGACAGAAGCTACAATAGATACTGGCAATACAATAATGTCGTTGGTCGAGATGTGACGCCATTGGGAAGGTGCTAGTAAATTGAGAAAAACTAGAAGACAGAAAAACAATTTCTGATAGACTGAAGATCTACTGATGACTAGAGAAAGGAAAATAAAAGAAAAGGGTATTTGTTTGTGTCCCATAAAAACTAGAAGGTAATTAAATTTGTCTGCCAGAGAGGTTCGATCAGGACTAATTGATGGAATATCCTTGGTGGTCCAAGGATCTCTCAGAAAGAAATAGATAATATTTTTACGACTAATGAGTGACAGAGGAAGACAGACCTTTTGGCTGAGAGTTTGGTCAATTGATAAGGAATAACTTGTAAAAGAACATGTAAAGAATGATAATTAAATTTTTTTGTCTGCCAAAGTGATAACCCTTCCCAAATCAAGGGATTGTTCCCTTTTCGTCACTTGTTGGCCAAAGGATTGACGATAAAAAAAAAAAAAGATAGGTTCCAGGTGTAAAAGTGACTACACACAAAAGCATAAGAATTTTGAACGATAATTAATATCTGACTGTTTGGACTGGAGCACGCCTTCTCCTGGTTTGATCAGGTGACCAAAGAGGAAAAGGCTCTGGTGGACTTTTCACACCCTTCAGGCTGTGATGGCTTGAGGCCTTCACACAAAGCAAAAAGGAGAAGGCCCAGGTAGAATTCCAAGGAACCCCCTCCCCCCCATATTTGGACACTTGTAGGGAGAGCCCTAATTAGTTTGGGGGAACGCTGGGATACCCAGAACACATCGTGCCCCAGCTCTTGTGCATGGGTCCATAAAAACGGAATACCAAGTAGATGAAGACACTATGGCAGAAGACCATGAGGGGCAGAGATGAGGGCTACTGCTTTGCTTGATCTCGTGTGATTTGCCACCCTTAAGAAAAAGACTCAGACTTAAAACATTTACAGAAATATTTAGAAATTTTATTTTACTAGGAAAAATTATTTTAATCTGTTCAAATTCTGACAAGATTATGGGAAGTAGAAATTTTTGACCACGCTTTTTGTAGTAAAAGAATTAGAAATTAAAACATGGGGTGAAACAAGACTTGGGCCAAAATGATCTACACAATTATCAGCCAAGGGTATTGAGCTTGAATACAGGACGGCTGGTGTAGATGTCACATGAGCCTGGCTTATCACATAGCTGTTGCCATTACTGAAGCATTATCCAATTTCAGTATTTATGTTCATTATTTGGTCTCTTGAGTGTTTAGTAGTAAATACCAATAGATGGAAGTTTTCTGCATAGAGGAATTAAATGGTACCATTGTGTTGAATTGCTTTCTGTACAAAGTGAAAGTTATGGATTATTGATGGGAAAGTCCAACCTTTACTGCGATGCTACTAACATGAGACAGCATTACTTTTGGAGCAAGTGTGTATGATATATAATATAGAATTAATATCTTTATAAGAATGGATAAAACAGAACTTAGGATGTTTACTCATCAGGAAATCTAAAATGGTATATTCTTTCTAATAGCTAAAATTACCTATTAAAAAACAATTTACATATTTTAAAAAAATCTATAGTTTGTGTGGGAAGGTTTTGGGTAGTATAGTTTCCAATCTTTATACTTTGGAATTGACAGTGATTTTGAAATGCAGATACTGACAATGTCTTAACATGCTAGAAGTCTATTGCATTAACTGAGGAAATGACATTTTTTTTTTTTTTTTTTTTTTCGCAAACTTATGATAAAAGTATCTTTTTAATTCTTATACTTTGAGAGATACTGAATATATTCAATCACACAAGAAAATAGTGAGAATTTAATCAGTTGAGCTGAAATTATTCATGTAAAAGCTGTTTTCAAAGCAGTGGTTACATTTCTTAGCTAAAGTTTTGGAGCCCCCTGAAAGGTTAGGTGCATGGTCTTAAAATTCACCTGACCAAGATAAAATGTTTGGATAGAGAGGCAGTCAAAATGCACAGGTAATTTCCATGGTGAGATGGAGGAGGAATATGGCCAGGATACGCAGCACAGAGCCGAGACCCTCTACTTGCTGGTCTCTCGAAATCCACAGTGATCAGAAAGTGGATTAAATGACCCACTGCACACCAAAAGGAAGAATGGCAACAGTTCGACCAGGATGTGAGTTCAATTTTAAGATCAATATTGAAAAGGGACACAGATAGTTGTCATTGTATATAATCTAATATCATCATTAGTTATGTGTCTGAGAGATTTGGTTATGTTCAAAAGAAAGGCACAAAAAACCTGGAAATAACCAGCAGTGGGGTGCTGAAGAAAATTTACCAGTTGAGACACAAGTTAAAATCTCTAAAGAGACAATACAAACAAGCAAAGAGATGGCAAAAGTGCCTCTTTCGGAACTCGGATATATTGAGGAAAAAACTTAGGACTCTTTGGTGAGCAGAAAGTTGGAGAAAAAGATCTGCCTTTATTTCAAACCACTTTGGTTTTACGAAGAGGTTACTAGGAGATAAGAGAGTAATCTTGAGTGAATGGTGGAAGAAATAAATTGTTTCCTACAAGAAACATTCAGTGACCAAGAGAGGAAATAATCTGTGAAAATGATGTGATAGTGCACTCCTGAACCACTAGAAACAGGTTTCTACTTGAAAGTACCTACCATAAAAGAATTAAGAGGTCATATCAGCAGCTAGATCAGCTTTGTCCCCAGGACCCAGCAGTGTTCCCTATGGTGTCTACAAGAGATGTCTGAATATTCAGTTACATCTCTAGAAGACATTAAAAATAATTTGAAGAGGTAAAAGTTGCAAAACGGTGGCAGTTTGCTAATGCAGTATGAATTTCTAAAGAAAATTCAAAAAGAATTGTACAGCTTAGAATGATTTCTTTGCTGGACAAAGAACAAAATTTTCTTCAGCATCTTGTCCCAATAACTTCGGCATTATCTAGTTGCCAACAATTACATAGAAACTTCAGTACAGAAGGGAGGGATTACCGGCATCCTAGGTTATCTGGATCATATTGGCATGATAACACAGCTCCTAAGAGAAGCAAAAGGGAAAAGTGATCTCAGCATACTGTGGCTGGACCTAGCTAATGCATATGGATCTTTTCCACACAAATTGGTTGAGGAAGCTCTCAGAAGATACCATATTCCTATTTGTGTAAGGAATCTCATATAAGATTATTATAATGATTTTAACATAACAATCACTGATTTGAAAGGGGAATTATAACTGAATGCACTATCTCAGTGATATTATTTATCTTAATGAATGTGTTAATAAAATCAGCAGCGGTCCAGTGGTGAGAAACAGTATGACAACCCCCAATTCATGCATATATGGATGACCTGACAGTTACTACATCCACAGTCCCTGGATGTTGGTGGATATTGCAAGGTTTCGAAAAGATGATGATTTTGAAACCAACAAAATCAAGGTCATTAGTACTGAAGAGAGGGATTATGACAAAAGTTCTTTTTCAAAATTGCAGAAACTATTATTCCATCATGAAAAGGAAAAACTAGTCAAGTGTCTGGGGAAAATTTTCAATGCTAATTTAAGATATTGACCCTACCCAGAAATGTTTTTCAGACCTCCAAGCAATGTTGAGTAAAGTGGACAATTCAGTTCTACCAGGCTGTTTAAGTCATGTATATACCTACATACCATTCTGCCAAAGCTTCTGTGGCCACTGATGTTATATGAAGTGGCACTGACAACGGTTGAGAAGATTGAGAAAGTGAGTGGATATTTGAGAAGATGGCTTGGCTTACTGAGGAGTCTAAGCAGTACAGCTCTGTATGGAGTTTCTAATTGCATCACAGAAAGAGAAAACATCCCTCCTCCCCTTTCCCAGGACTCACAATTGAGAGTAGATATAGGCAAGCAGCTTAAACTTCCTGTGGAAATAAATACAGACTAAACTTTATCCAGGCATGATTATTCTGAAAAGATCAAAGAAATCCTGTTAGAATTAACAGTCCTTCAAAAGGAAAATATGGAGGAAGCCAATGAAAGGAAGCTTGGGAAATATTTACTGATTGTAGAGGAATGTAAAAGACGCTGTTTGCGAGCTCAATGCGAACTGATTGAAATCAGTTGCTGAGGCTTTACTGGGCAGTCTCTATGTAAGATGTTACCAAAATTAGGTGTAACAGCTTGGCAAAAAAGCTATTTGCTCAATAAGAGGTTCTAGATGGCTTTGGTTGATGATAGGCAGTCTGGAAGTAAATGAAAGGAAGTTGCGGTTGATATATACATATATTTTGTAGGAGGGGGGTCTTGGGCATGACCCAAAACTCCATCTGACAATGGAGTCTTCAAATTTGATCAATCAAATTGGTACTTACCACTTGAGCCAAGCGTGCTGTCATATTCCTGCTCAGTTTGAAATTGTGGCTGTGTTTGCTTCCTTTTTTTATGGAAGTATACATTGCTAGTGAACTGTATCATCTGGGATTGGACAATAAATTGCCAAGAAGAGTTGCATGGTGTGTAGTTAGGAAGATGGAAAAAAATTGTAGTTGACAGACGGTACACAAGTCAATACCCAATCGGTAGCTGCTGGGTCACCATGGATAGGGGTGTATGATGTTGAAAGACCCAAAACCCCCGAATGAATCTCTGCTTGAAACATCACTGATGTGCTAAAACATCCAACAGATGTATTTTATGGAATACTTTCTATCATTGCTTTTATGGTTCAAGGGGAGTAACTCTTATTTTTCCTTTTTTTTTTTTTTTGTATCACAAATTGCCGTGCACATTTTAAACTAGCTTAAAAGCTGCCTAATAGTGGCATTTAAGCTAGCTTCAGTGGAGAAGTCTTGGTTTGTCCATCACAATAGCTAGGGAGGAGTAGATGTGATAGTCATCAATAAACTACAGAAGAGCTCAAAATTGAATTGAGTATTGAATTAATGTTAAGCTTATCTTTTAAAAGTTCAACAATTTTTCTGCTGCTACTTAATTTACCTATGATCTGATGCATGTAGGTCTTTATTTTACGTACAGTTATTTCATGGTTGACAGAACAGGGGACAATTTAAAAGATAAATTAATATAGTGTAAAGATGGGGAAATTAGAATTAGTTATACATTCAACATTTGAAGAGTTACAAACATAATAGCTAATAAAGTAATTCCTATGTTATGGAATGTATATGAATAAATTTGAAATTGGAGCTCAATTCTCCCGCAAATTCTGAGATTAAAAAGCCCCAGCTCTACTTTATAGTAATTTGGTATTTGCTCAACCCCACACAAGATCTGTTTAATGTGGGGAGCATGAGTACATACACCCAGGCTATGTACACTCTATCCAAAGACACTCAGCTGTGAGATGATAAATAAACTTGTTACAAACTACTTGTGAGGGTAATTTACACATGGTACTTGCTTCTCCCCACTAATACAGAGGCAATACAAGGTCAGTTTTTAAGGTGTGGACCTGAGCGCATACACCTGGGCTAGGAACAAAAATTGCCAGTCCCCACAGACCATTGGTTGCACTGGCTTCGGTGCAAGCACCAATCCCTCTCTGGTGCAATGAGAGAGCACAGACTTGGGCATCTGGTCCCCAGGACTGGGCACCTCTCAGTATATTTTTCATCAGTTGTGACACAAGGATGTTTCTTTTTTTTTAACATGGGGAACCAAGTATCTTCACTTGGGCTGCTGGTCAGAGCTGGTTTAAGCTGGTCATGTCTGTTCTTGACTAGCCCAAGTTAGTGATACTACCAGATGCAGGGATGGATCCCTGCATCTGGCAAGTATCAATGTGTACAACCTACTTGGGAGAGCAATTTGTATTTACTCAACCCATACACAAGGTCAGATTATGACACAAGGTCAGTTTAATGTGGGGAGTCTGTGCATGTAGCCCCGGGCTAGGAACAAAAATTCCTGAGTCCCCATAGCTGTTGGTTGTACTGGCCTCTGTGCATGCATTGATCCCTCTCTAGTGCAATGAGAGGGTGTGGCCTTGGGCAGCTGTTCCCCAGGGCTGGCTCCTCTCAGTATAATTTTTCTTAGTTGCAACTCTGTCCTTTGACACTCACCCCTGCCCTGAGTGCACTCTGCCCAAGGAAAGAAACGCAACTGAGAACTGGTCAATAGGGTGTTACAAACATCAAAAATAGTTGTTTAGGAATATCGTCTTATATAGTGCAGAAAAGTTTGAAATTTGCATTTTACTTGGCCTTCAACAAGTTGGCATCTATTTGTAAAACTCTCCTTAACTATAACAAGGCAATTTATGACTGAAATGTTCATTTTAAAATTTGTTTCAAAGATTTCAAGTAGTGAATATCTTTGCAAAGTGATAGCGAACAGGTGAAGCCTGCTAGTCACTTATAAATTTGCTTGACAGAAAAGGAATGACATAAGAGGTTAATCCTTTCATAAATCTAATTTGTTATATAATGATTTGTCAAGTTTAGTCATTAACTTGTTTCAGATGTTATGAATTATAGAGTATGTATGAATTTTTTTTTTTCTCTTTAGGGAGGAAGAAGCCATCAAACTAGATGGTTTAAATGTAGCACAGATGAAAGAGATGCGTGAAAAGTCTGAAAAACATGCATTCCAAGCAGAAGTGAATCGAATGATGAAACTTATCATTAATTCTCTTTACAAAAACAAAGAGGTTTGTTTGGCCAATGCCAAAGTTTTATTTATTTATTTATTTTTTTTTTGTTAAGATGAATTTATAAGAAAGCAATATTACTTTCTTCACCGTCATGTTACTAGTTTTACCAGATACTGTTGCTTTTTATCATAACTTAGCTTGGTTTCTATTGATGGCTAGAGCAAATATGAGAATAAAGAATATGGTAGCTTCTATTTAAACTGGCTTTTACCCTTGCTTTGTAAGGTCACATTTCTCATTTGTAGTGTTTGCCCTTGTGGCTGAAGGGTATATCAAACCAGTGTTTGAAATTGATAAAAATGGGGTAAAGCTAGTAATAAAACAATAACTTAAAATCTCTTTGGGCTAAGAATTGCTTTTTGATATAGAAATTTCTTGTTTTAGAATTTTTAAGTTGAATTTAAATATGCTAAAAAAAAAAATATATCCGTGTCTTACCATATAAACTATTTTGACATTTTGCTTCATTTTTATATTTTTTTTAATTTTAGTTCCTTTTTTCTTTTTCCAGATATTTCTTAGAGAACTTATTTCTAATGCATCAGATGCGTTGGATAAAATCAGATTTTTGGCTCTGACAGACAACAATGCTCTTTCTGCTACTGAGGAGTTCAGTATAAAGATCAAGGTATTTTAAATCTTAAGGTTACTTTTTCTCTAAATTTTAGTTTTCAAAGTTAACTTTTGAAAAAAAGTTAACTAGTTGTAAATAGTATTTTTCTCTTTTATAGCTAAGCATTTCTTATTGTAAAATCTTTGCATCGTTTTTCCAGGCTGATAAAGAAAATCATGTACTACATGTAACGGATACTGGTATTGGCATGACTAAGAATGACTTGATTAACAATCTTGGAACCATTGCTAAGTCTGGCACAAGTGAATTTCTTCAAAAACTGGGAGAATCTACTCAGACTGAGATGACTGATCTCATTGGTCAATTTGGTGTTGGATTTTATTCTTCTTTCCTTGGTAAGTTGTTTTTTTTTTTTTTTTTTTTTTTTTTTCACTTAGGAATTTTAAACTTTAGTGTTATCTGGATGTAAAATTCTTGTGATAATTCTTTACCATGTGACTAAGGATATTTGATAATATCCTGTTTAATTGGCATTGAGTAAGCAGAAATTTATTTTGAGTTTTTTGCATGAAGAGAATATTAATTTTATTTTTTTTTTTTTTTTTTTTTTTTTTTTTTAGGGAGAAGGCATAGTCTTTAAGTTCTTAGTATTGATCTGTACTTGTCTCTGTCTATCCCATTTTTGAAGAAAAGTTAGGAAAAATTCAATGTTTGTTTATTTTCAGTTGCTGATAAAGTAATGGTCACCTCCAAGAATAATGATGATGATCAGTACATCTGGGAGTCTGACTCTGATTCTTTCCATGTATCTAAAGATCCTCGTGGTAACACTCTTGCACGTGGAACCACAATTAGGTAAACCAGAATCCTTCTCATTATGAGTTAATCAGATATTAGAATGTACCAAAATTGATGTTAGTTGATTCTAGCTGCCTAATAAATTGGGTTGAGTTGAAATGTTACACATCAAGCTTAACATAACTTTATATCTGATATTAGGCTACTCTCCTTTGATATCAAATTTTAGATTCTTACCAATGTTAAGTTTTTGAAGTTTCAGTGATTGGACTTCCTTTTTGAAAACCAGTGAAATTGTTACATTTTTATGCAAACTGTAAATTGAATATTTTCTTGACTTGGCGAGTAATGCTAGAAACATCTATATACTTTTTTTCTTGCAGTTTGCATTTGAAAGAGGAGGCCCATGACTTCCTTGAAGAAAGTACTTTGAAAGAATTGATTCAGAAATACAGTCAATTTATCAACTTCAATATCTACCTTTGGACCAGCAAAGTAAGATTCTTTTATTTGATTAATTTTCTTTAACTTTGGATTCACATCTTTGCTTCTCTCTCAAATATTAGGGGAGTGTAAATTAAGCCATTTAGAATTTTTTGTTGCTGAAGATATTTAATTGCATTGTTGGTTCTACTGTATCTATGCTAACTTTTTTATTTTATCTTCAAAACATCTTTAATTCTCAGAATTGTTGACAAGTCTCTATAAATGATTATTGCCTGGATTGTAATGTTTGCTGGATTAATTTTACTATTGTTAATTGTTCAGTTATTTTCAAGATTGAGAATGAGATTGTTACTTTTCATAAGAAACTTGGATCCTGAGTGTATTGGAGTTGTCTCTTTCCTTGTAGACTGAGAAAGTAGAAGAACCTATTGATGAAGAAGAGAAACCAGCTGAAAATAAACCTGAAGAGGAAGATGAAGAAGGCAAGGTTGAAGAAGAGAAAGATGATAAGCCAAAAACAAAAACAGTTGAGAAGACTATTTGGGATTGGGAACTCCTCAACAGTGTCAAACCCATTTGGTCAAGAAAGTAGGTCAAATTTTGAAAATCTCTTCCTTTCTACAGATTAATCTCAAATACACATCACCTTTTTGCATAATCTGATTCTAGTTATTTTGGCATTCTATTGAAAATGGATCCATTATTAATTTTTAGATACTTCCTTGACGCCTTATCAAGTCTCTGGTTGCTGTCCAACTATTAAACTAGAAGTGTGGACCAAAAATAATAATAAAAAAAAGTGATTAACAATGTTTACTGCCAAAAGTAGACAATGGTCATCAGAAATGTGATGAAATAAAGACTACATAATCAAGTTTTGATAAAACATTAAACTGAAGCAGTTCCTTTTAATGTGATTATCTTGCAATTTTACATATCTGTATACTTTCTGACACTTAACAGATAATCCCTCCTTTTTGATTGATATATTAAAATAAAAATCTGATGTGAATAGTAACTGTTGTGATTACAGAGCATTTAACACTTTTCTAGAAGGCATAATAATTTTTATGTAAAACTGTTTTAAATTTCAGTCATAATTGTAAAATTAGCTACCAAACGAAGTTTATTTGAAATTGATATTTGTTTCTTCTCTAGGCCTGCTGAAATCAAAGAGGATGAGTATGAAGCTTTTTACAAGTCCATCAGTAATGACAATTCTGCTCCCCTGGCCAAGATTCACTTTACAGCTGAAGGTGAAGTGACCTTTAAATCAATTCTATATGTGCCTAAAATCTCTCCTCATGATATGTTCAACAACTATGGAAAGAAAACTGATCGTATTAAGGTAAATTTTCTGTTTATTTTTATTTTTCTATGAATGTTTTGACAAATTCAGTTCCCATTCAATACTGTTTTATTCTGATTTTGTTTGTATATAAGTAATTTTTAGCTGCATTTTTGCTTTAATAAATTACTCTCCCTCTTAATTAAAATTGCCGTTAAGTCAAAATTATTGCTAAACTTATTACAATGAATGGTTACTGCATTGAGGAACTTTTGTAAAGAATTTCTCCTGTGCCCATATATTCTCTTATTCCTAGACATTTCACTTATGTATTTCTGTGTGGGATATAAATATAAAAGTGGACAGACGTCAACATCTAGCAGCAACAGTCTGTTTCAGGCTTAAATGCAATCTTCAGGCCACTTTTTTCCTGTTCATTTTTAATTTTCAATCTTTACATAACATTAAAAAAAAAAAAAATACATGATTTGCTTTTCTTAAAGCCTTGTGCTTTTAACTAATATAATCACTAAACTGAATGTGATTGAATTTCTAGTGTTTTCATAAATTAGTTTGGTGGGGGGCGTATAATAAATATAAAAAATATTTTTGCCATGACTTTAAAAAAAAAAACATAATTTCCATCATTTGTAAATAGTTTCTGAAAGTTTCATTAACATCTGACAGTTATTTTTATTTTTGCAAGATTTTCCAAATGTCTCGTACAAAAAAAAAAAAACATGCTAAAAATTTATTTTACTAGTTCGGTGATACAAAATTTAGAACCTTCTAAGGAAAAATTTAAAAAAAGATTAAAAAATAATTCGTTCTTTCCTATTAATAACATTTTAGACGATAACATTTTGTTTTCGTCAAGTTTGACATCTTTTTCATCATTGCTTTTTAGCAATCTCATAAAGGTATCTAAAGTATAGTTATCAACTTTGTAGTATTGTCTAGTTTTATCAAGATTTATTTATATTTTTGTAATTCTATAAATCTGATTTAACTTTGTTTGTGTGTGTATATATATATATATATATATATATATATATATATATATATATATATATATATATATATATATATATATATATATATAAATAAAGGAACTAGGATATTATTAAATGTATTTTTAATCTTTCTCTTAATTGTGTAAATACTGAGGGCTAAAAATTCTAAGTACTTTTAAGTAGGAACCATAATCATTCCAGATTTTATTTTAGGGTGTGACTTAGTTTTGATATTGTTTAATATGATATTGAGAAAAAAGTAATGATTTCTGTTCCATAATTAAATTCCATTGATTGGTGTTAGTTTATTTACAAGAATTGTTTCACTGCCTTGGACAAAATGACGTGGTATTGTTATGAAAGATAGCTAACAATTTTTTTCATTTTTAGGTATCTGTAAGCTTTTCTCTGAAACTATAGAATCCTGATTTTTTTTTTTTTTTTTTTTTTTTTTTTTTTTCCATGATCTTTTAGGCCAAGATTAAATTTCTTACATTTTTCTCTTGTAGATGTATGTACGTAGAGTTTTCATCACGGATGACTTTGAAGATATGATGCCCAAGTATTTGAACTTTGTGACAGGAGTGGTGAGTATTTGAATGACTTAAGTTTTCATAATTCATTTGGTTATTAGATTACTTTATTCATTTATGACTTTGACTTGATGGCTAAAAAAACAATTTTCCTAAATGCTCTTCATTACAGGTAGATTCCGATGATTTGCCACTGAATGTGTCTCGTGAAACTTTACAACAACACAAGCTTCTCAAAGTCATTAAAAAGAAACTAGTCCGTAAAACCCTGGATATGATAAAGAAAATTGATCCCAAAGATTTTAAAGACTTCTGGAAGGAATATAGTACAAAGTAAGTTGCTACTTTAAAAAAAAAAAAAAAAACCTTTTCTAAAAGGTGTTTTTCTTTTTCTTCTAAATGAATCTCTGCAAACACATGGAGCTCCACTGAATTCTATCTGGGTATAAAGGATGTTCTGTAATCAAATTAGGACTCCAAACCTAACTTGATTAGTAACTATTTCTCATCTTTATTTGGCAATGGCTTCAAAACCCCTCTTTCCTAATTACAAATGTCTTTGTTCATCTTATTGAGTTGATTAGTTTTGAAAAGTTACAATAGTTTTCTTTTTTATCGGCACAAAGAAATTCAAATATCGCATGTTTATCTTCACATGGTCCCCTATATTGGTTAACTTCCAACTGAATAACTGCTATATCTTATATGTAACTATTGCAGCTTTTTGTACTTACTAGCTAAAAGACATGTAAAGACTTATTATTTTCTGGGGGGGAAAAAAAAAAAAAATAAATGCTAAATTTAATGATCACATGATTGTATATTTCTTGTGATTACTCTCACTTATTTAATTTTTCTTTTCCAGTATCAAACTTGGAGTCATTGAAGATCCCTCCAATCGAACTCGTTTGGCTAAGTTGCTCCGTTTCTATACCTCCAATTCTGAAACTGACCAGACCAGTTTAGGAGAATATGTGGAAAGAATGAAGGACAAACAAACTGCAATCTATTTTGTTGCTGGTAGCTCTCGTAAAGAGGTGGGTTGATTGAAAAGATATAGGAAGAATTAATTTTACTTATTTGACATGCTATCTTTTTAGAGATGTCCTGACTCTTATGTTCCTTATTTTTCAGGTGAAAGAGTCTCCCTTTGTTGAGCGTCTCTTGAAGAAAGGTTATGAAGTGCTTTATTTAATTGAACCTGTGGATGAATACTGCATCCAAGCATTGCCAGAATTCGAAGGCAAAAAATTCCAGAATGTCGCTAAAGAAGGCTTGTCTTTATCTGATTCTGATAAAGCCAAAGAACAGAAAGAAGCTACTGAAAAGGAATATGAGCCATTGCTGAAATGGTTGAAGGAAGATGCTCTCAAAGACCAGGTAAAAATTAGACTAAATTCTCTCTCTCTCATATATATATATATAATCTGTGTGTGAACATAGATTAGTCTGAAATGGGGGGGTATTTTGATTTAGAATTTATTTTCTAATAAAATGTGGCTTGTATTCAAGTCGGTCTGAAATTTGTAGGATCATCTTGGGCTTTACACATGTTTTTCTCATTTCATTAAACTAGTTTGTATATAAACTTTTGTTACTTACCCCATGTTAATATTTGGAGTGAAAAATGATACAGATTGATGTTTGACCTCAAATTTAGAAACTATTTGACTTTTAATTGTTAATTTTTCAATACATTTACAGATTGAAAAAGCTACCATTTCTGAGAGATTGTCCACTTCACCATGTGCTCTAGTTGCTGGTCAGTATGGCTGGTCCGGCAACATGGAAAGAATAATGAGAGCACAAGCCTATGCCAAAGCGAAAGATCCTTCCCAAGAGTGAGTAGTGTTTACTTTATCCTTTTTGAAATTTTCAATGACCCTGATTGTCATTGATTGTTAAAGATTAACCCCACCACTTAGATTGCTTTGGTAAATGCAGGCTTTTATATAAATTTTGACTATTTCTGTGATTAAGCAAGAGCTTTTATGCAAATTTACAGGAACTAAAATTTCTCAATTCCAGACATTTTTCATGTTGGTTTTCTTTTATTTTGGCATGAAGTCCTTATTACTTAAAAAATGAATCATCTATACAATTACTCTTCCAACAAACATTTTACAGTGAAATGTTTTAGTAAAAAAAACTTTGCTGTTTGGTTGCAATTTTAACAAGAAATGCGTTTTTGCCTTTTCCTTTTTAGTTATTTTGCCAACCAGAAAAAAACTTTGGAAATCAATCCAAGACACAAGTTTATCAAGGTTTTAAAAGAAAAAGTAGAGGTAAGATTTTGATTTGGAGGTAAGCTCCTTTTGAACAAACTTTCTATACTTAAGTTTAAACCCTGTAAATTTAATATCCTGTTAAATGGGCAAATTGATTTTTGTGCTGTTGTACTTAGAACTATTACTGATCTATATATAATCTTAAGCTATACTCAAAATGGCCAGGATTCAAAACCTTTATCTGGCCTTAAATAACACTATAGTTGATCTGTCATGCAGAAACCAAACCAAACCGAGCCAATTTTTATTCTGTATTTTACTTTGGTTTTTCTTTAAGGCCAACAGTGCTGATCCTGCTGCCAAGGATTTGGCTGTGATTCTGTTTGAAACTGCTACAATGAGGTCTGGTTACATGGTTATTGATAATGTTGGTTTTGCTGGCCGAGTAGAAAGGATGTTGAAGAGTGGACTGAACATCGAAGGTGATAATATGGTAAGTCAGATGGTTGGGCAAGTAAAATATTTTTCCTATTCTGATCAATTCACCCCAAGCAAGGCGATAATGCCACCAAGACAAAAGGGGCTACTGGGAGTGAATTACAAGGAACTGGAAACCCAATCCTAAACAGAAGTTAAAACTCTACTCCTGCTCAAAAGACCGTTAAATTTATTAAATACAAGCAGGCTTTGCAAAGTAAGATATATTCACTACTTGAAATCTTTGAAACAAAAATTTTAAATTACAATTTCATTCATAAATTGGCTTGTTACAGTTAAGGAAAGTTTTACAAATAGATGCCAACTTGTTGAAGGCCAAGTAAAAAGCAAATTTCAAACACTTTTCTGCACTATATAAGATATTACTAAACAGAACTATTTTTGATATCAAAACAATCCTCAAATAAAAGAACAGTAATGTAGGACAGTTAATTAATGATGTAAGCTTTTTAAAATCAATATGCAAATTAGTTAAACCTGAAGAGTGATATTGCCTAGAAGTAGATAATAAATAATACAATATAATAATATAAATAATACAATATTGATGTTTTAGTGTGTAAACCCCTCTTGAGGGGAATACACATTCAGATACTTACTGGTTGCAGGGCTCCATCCCTGTGCTGGTGGTATCATGGCTATGACTAGCTTGGACAAGCTAAGATCAGCTTAGACCAGCAGCCTGAGGGGAAAACACTCTGATCCCCACATTAAACACTTACCTCGCGTCACAACCTGACTCACTGGGAGGGATCAAGTAAATCTCACTTACCTGTTCACAGGGATCTGTACTGGTTGTATCACGGCTATGTCAAGCCAAGACCGGCTTGGACCAGCAGCCCAAGGGAAAACATTCGGGTCCACACAAAAATGACTTTGTGTCACAAGTAAATCTCCTTACTAGTCATCCTTGTGCTGGTAGTATCACAGCTATGACCAGCAGCCCGAGTGAAGACACTCTGGTCCCCATGTTAAAAAAAGACCTATTACAATCTAACTCAGTGGGGAGTCGAGTAAATATAAACTCCTCTATCGAGTAGTTTGTAACACACCTATTTATCATCTCAGTTGCATCTCTGTCTTTGGGCAGAGTGCACTCAGGGGCAACTGTCAAAGTACAGTCACAACTTAGAAAAATTATACTGAGAGGTACCCAGTCCTGGGGAACAGCTGCCCAAGTCTGTGACCTCTCATTGCACCAGAGAGGGATTGAGGCTTGTACTGGGACCAGCACAACTGATGGTTGTGTGGTCATGGGAATTTTTGTTTCTAGCCCAGGTCTAGGTGCTCGGGCTCCTCACATTAAACCAACCTTCTATCTCAACATGACTTTGGCGGGGAGGCAGTAGAGTAAATACCAAATTACCATAAAGTAGATCTGGGGCTTTTTTAATCTCAGAATTTGTGTGAGAATTAAGCTCCAATTTCACATTTATTCATATAGATTCCATAATATAGGTTTTACTTAATTAGCTATTATGTTTCTCTAACTCTTCAAATGTTGAATGTATAACTAATTTCTATTTTCCCATCTTTACACTATATTAATTTTATCTTTATAAATTGTCCCTATTCTGTCACCCATGAAATAAAAATAATTGTTTGTATGGAAAATAAGAATGTACATACATCAAATCATCTTTAAATTAAGTGGCAGCAGAAGAATTATTGTTGAACTTTTAAAATGTAAGCTTAAACATTAATTCAATACTTAAATGCAGCGATCACTTTTGAGTTCTTCTGTAGTTTATAGATGCCTATTGCATCTACTCTTTCCTAGCTGTTGTCATGATGGGCAAACCAAGACTCCTCCACAGGAGTTAGCTAGCTTTTAAGCTAGCTGCAATTTTGGATAATAAAGGAAAATGAGTTACTCCCCTTGAACCATGAAAGCAACTGATAATGGCTAGTATAATATATTTATATATATTTTTAACCTTGTCTAATCTGGCAACCCTGAATCTGAGCTCCACAAAAATTGTTCCCTGTGCCTATCTTTTCTAGGGCTTTTGGATGAGCTATGTATCATTGAAATTTGACCAGTGTGAGCGGAAGAGTTGCTTATATATATATATATATATATATATATATATATATATACACACACACACACACACACACACACACACACTGTACTTTGTATATAAGATATTAAAATTTATTTGGTTGGTAAGCAAGCATCTGCATTTTCACTTTAAATTCATAAAAAGTATTGCTAGTATTATCTTTTAACTTTTTAGGTTGAAGAAGAACCAGAAGTTGAGGAAGAAAAGGAGGAGGAGGAGGAAGAAGAGAAGGAAGAAAAAGATAAGGAGGAAGACAAGGAGGAAGATAAAGAGGAAGACAAGGTCAGTACATGTGAATGAGTTGTGTTCCATTTCTTTCATCTTTTTGAATATTGAGTTTTATTTCACTTATGTTTTGAATTGGTTTCGTTTCCTTATTCTTATTTCCATTTTGAAATTGCAAACCTGTCACTTTGGCTGCTTTGCACATATTTAGAACCTTCACATCTTTATACAGGACCTAACTTAACACTGATTTATTAAGAGAAAACAGACTTGTGTAGCTTTCTAGTGTTTGCTTAGAAATGTATTTTGGCCCATATTTAACTATAAATTACTTTGTTAAAATAGTGGAACTGTTGGTTTGGAATACAAACTATGAATAAGTTATGAAGTTAAGTGAATTGGTAAACAAATCGTACTTTAGAGTTTCAACTTTTAAAACGTCAATGGAAATATTTAGCTTTTATGTTCAACATTAATTTGGTTATTTATAAAAAAATTTTCTAGGTCATCTGTCAAGTGATTGGATGGGCAGAATATTCTACTTATACAAACTATTATGGCAGTTAAATGAATGAAGCATATGTTGTCCAATTAATTTGAATCATTGACTTTGATTTATTTAGTAATTAAAAATGGCAGAATTCCTGTCCGAGTATTGTTCATTCCCTATTGTCCTGTTCTGCCCACCCACTGACCTTATGCATGATGTCGTGTTTGTTTTTTTTTTTTTTTTTTTTTAATTGGATGCATGATATAATCAGCATGACATGAATACCTAATGTAAACTTTGAAAATTTCCAGTTCTTGTGTTGCTGCTTTTGCCTCTGTGTGTGCAGTTGTATAAATGTGTGTCTTTAACAGTGCATTGGGATCTAAGGCAATATCTATTGCAAATGATCTTCCTTGTTTCTTAGTTGCTCATTTGTTTCTGATTCCCTTATTGGAAAAACAAATTTGACTTTGACAACTTCTAATTTTTTTACCCCCCATCCTTTTTTTTTTTTTTTTTTTTTGTTTGTTTCTACAACGAAGTTTGTCTGACTAAATTATTTTCAGTCTTGAATCTAGGTTGCATGAATAGATACATAAATAGCTATGACAATTTAAATATTTTCAAATATCCCCTTATTTGACTGAAATTTATGCTAGCACTGGCTTATATTATCCTCTCTACTTATTTTTAAATTAAAATATTCTTGGGGTAGTAGAGCTGCTAAATTATCATTTTGGAAATGTTGGTAGCATGTTGTTTAAAACTCTTGCTTCAAATTTTGTTTCTAAAATGACCTGAACTAATGAAATGTTACTTATCAACAGCCAGTGTCTTTTATGAATGGAAATCTTCTTTTTATTTGAAGATGACTATAAACACAAAAAGGAGTCAATGATTTTAAAATCTACTGATTCTTAAATAATCTGATAGATTCTTTACTAACTTTATTGGAAATATTTATATTAACTTGTAGTTTTTTTTTCTAATACTTCAGTAAAGTTGATTTTTTTTTTTTTTTTTTTTTTTCCTCCTCTCCTTCAAGCTGACAGGATAGTTCAAATCCAATGCATTTTATTTTTAATACTGTTAGCTTTCATATTTGAACTGAAGCTTTTAATCTCTAGAGCATGGCGTGTCTTATCACTATATTCCACTAACTGTTAAAAAGCAGACTGTCATTCTTTTGGGAGTACATGTATACATGCAGACACAAAGGCAGGCAGACAATGTGAGCTGGTCACTTTTGCTTTGTATCTCATTCTCTTTTAACTTTTATTTTTATTTATTTTCATTCTATCAGGGTTCCCATCATTCTGATGAATTATAACCTCATTGAAGAGGACTATTCACTTGTGTCTAACAAGGCTGGAAGCCATTGTTCCTGTCAAGAATGCAACACCATCTGCCACTACTACACCAACTATATACCAGCAGTCCTGGAGAGCTCACTAATCATTCATTTTATTGGCAACTTTATCATTTCATTTTAAAGGGACTTTCTATTGCTGGTTCTTGTAACATACATTGAAAAAAAAAAATGCAAAACAAAAAAACAATTTACCTTTCCATCTGTGAACTTGATGTTATGACTGAAGTGAGTTAATTTGTGAATAAATCTTTCTAATAACTCTTTCTGTTTCTACCCACTTGCTGCCCTTTTCCCATTTCAGTGAAGTTGATCTGGATTCCTTTCCTTTCCAATACCTCAAATTCACTTCAAGTAATATTTTTTTTTATAATTTAAATGTGAAACTAACTACTGTTCAAGCTTGTTACACCTTGCATTTAATGTTTACTTATTCAGCAACTACTTTGTTTTGAGTTTTGCAAAGTTGGAAATTAACTTGCAAAAACTCTAGTAAAATATCTGAACTTTGAAATGATGAATCTAGGTGAGAGGAACCAGAAATAATTTCCTGCATGTTAACTCTTTCCTGTCTTGAAACTTTCTACTGTAGCCTTCAAGTACTTTTGTTCTCCCAACTACTGTTGTATGGTTAGAAAGGTGGCCTTTCTGTTCATCTTGATTATTTGAATGGGATGAAACAAGATAAGTTATGGCTGCTGTGGCTATCACATGGGCAGGCTTGCTAGTGTTGGTTTCATACTTCCATTTGATTGACCAGTAATGTAACTTGGGCACATGGAGTTCATTGCTTGTGTATTGTGGAAACCAATAAATTCTGAACTATAACCAATCTTTGACCACTGTGTCTTTGCTTAAAACTGCCATTGGTGTTGGAGACCACTTATGTTGGCATTTTGATGTACAACTCTTAATTTGTATTTTAGTTAAATTTTTTTTCTACTTTTACATATCTGAAAGGTTTTGCACCTAACATTTTAATTTCTCATTTTGAACTGGAATTTTTTTTTCCTAAACAATAAATATCCACCTGAAAACTTAACATTATTTTTCTGTTGCTTTCTGTTCATTCTTGTAAGTAGATAGAAAACATTTGTAAGTTGTTCTGATGATTGGTTTAGAATATCCTTCTTGAAACCTTACTTTTACCAGATGAATTGATTTATAAGATTTATCATAAAAGTGGAACTTTAGGTTGTACACCAAATTCTAGATCAAATGAATTGGAGTTTCCTGCATTCAGTGTTGAACTCCTTAAATGTTGTCTTTTTCTGTCAGAATGTCTTACCCATCCATTTTATTTTTACCCCTACCCCCCTTTCTTTCCCCTGACTATGAGTGATAACATGTTTGGTAACAGACCTTTGTTTTGTAAAATTAACCTGTGCCACAGATGGAAGGATTATACCTGTGCAGATGTTGCACCAATTACATTTGACAAGCAATGTCAGCTTGTAAACTTTGAAAAATTAACTTCATTTATAAAATATTTTTCTAATTAAAATTTTAAAATTTTGGGAAACTTTGAAGTTTGCATTTCATTAAAAACAGAAAAAAAAAAAAACAATACATGTCCTCATAAAATAATTCCTCACTATTATGGAAAAAAAAAACTTGAAATGTTTATACCATTTTAGTATACACTTATCCCTATAGGTTTGTCAAATTTCCTTACTGCATACATATTAAGCACAAAATCTAAATTTGGATATTTCTTTCATTGGTTTCTTGAAATTAGGATAGCTATAAATTGTTTCTATCTTGAGTTAATGTGAGGTTATGCTTGAAGGAATCTACACGCTGAAATCATTAGGCATTTTGTGTATGTTGCAGATGGTTGAGATGTTCCATATTTTTTTTTTTTTTTTTTTTTTAAATGCATCTAATTGAAAAGTGAAAATCCTTTCTCCAATACAGAACATTGTTTAGTTGAGTTTTTCTTTTCTACTAACAAAACATTAGCTCAGATGATTTTTATACTTTGCCTTTTTTTCTACTGGAGTTGAGGCTGCTTGTTGCTGTTCTTAAAGTAATCATACCCAATATTTTGACACTTTATGTTCATATTAAGTGTTATTTTTTTACTTTTGTTGCTGCATCTTTTCTTCCAGTTTACCTGTTGTATGTTTAAGTGTTTATCTACTTCAATGAACAAATTTCTTTTTTCATTACATGCTTAGTGGGATTTAAATCTGTTATTTCTAATACATAGATTATTTCTTATATTTGACAAGTTTTTAGAATTCTGTCTACAGGCTTGTATTAGTGGTAAAGATTGTTCAATTAAATTTTCTTTTAAAGTCTTCATTTTCAGGAATAAATTTCAACACCTGGAAAAAAATTTTTATTATTTAACATGAAATGCAAAAGAGAATAGATTATGCTAGTGTACATATAAATGAAAAGGAAGAAAAAACATTGTGGCTTTGCTATTAAAAGCGTTTGAGTTAAACTTAGGTGCTCACTTAGGGAAGAGGATTTTTTAATTTTTTCATCAAGAGTAAGGAGTGTGTTGCTGCTTCTACATTTTGGAGAGGATAAAAGCGTTCTGTGCATTCATCTATATTCCTGAAATGCCACCTAGAGTCTTAGCAGCTTAGGAGGGACTAATCCCTACAGACTACAACCAATTAATCTGTAATTTCATAACACTGCCAATTTTAAGTGACTTTACAAGTCAATTTGATATCTTGCTTGGATGTTAAAATCTCTGACAGTTGTGCCTGTTTGTTTTCAAAATAATTTGTCATTAAGTTGCATTTTTTTATTAAAAAATGAATTTAACTTTCATTATGAATCAAGAAACTATTAAGGCATTTCATAAAATCTTACTTGCCATTAAGATGGCATTAAATTTTTCTAGAATAAGATCATGATTCTCTAGTAAGGGTTATACCTACTCTCTTGATATGTTATGCTAAAGCCCATTTCAATTGGTTCACATGCACCCCCCCCACACGTTCATGAAATTGGTTATTGATATTAAAAAAAAAAAAAAAATCAAATTTGAAAAAGGATGAAATGTCTTACAATTCACATGTAATTTATCTTATTTTCTTTCAGTCAGCACCTCCTGTATAGTTTGTTGCTTGGGTACACATCCTTATATAATTCAATGTATAGGACATTTTTAGTACTGCTTCATATTTACAGAATTGATTTTGTTTTGATTAATCATTAGCTTTTTTTTTTTTTTTTTTTTTTTTTTTAAGTTTTAAAAAAGTTTAGATTTCAACTCTACAGTAAATAATTTTACCATCAGAATGAAATTAATCTTAAAAGGATAAATTAAGATGTGAATACATAATCCTCTCACTACCATGTTGGTCTTCAGATTCCTTCAGACCACCATGATTACCATCTAGCTGACTTTACACTTGTTAATGTGTTGTTGGTTTGTTTCCTGTTGATGAGTACGGTTCCACTTAATCTAGCTGGAATTCATGACCATTCACTCCTCTGCCATGTGTTTTGGATCTCTGAGGGTGAGAAGTTGCTGGTAAAATAAACTGAACAGGTTGATGGATAGGAGCTACACAAAAGAATTAGAATAAAGAACTAAACTCTGGTTAAAAATGTAATGCTTTTGATTTGTTGTATACAGTGGTTTTTAACCCTTCCCACTTGTTATCAAATGACACTGGGATCCTCTTTTGGAGTTTACAGCCTGTGTTAAAGATTTAAATTTTCTAAGTGATGTTGATTCTAGTAGTAGTGTGGGTACATTCTAAGTTTTCCAAGCCTCCAGCTTATATGGAGTCTGGTGTCTAGGAGGTATAGGATTGTCTTGGGTTTGGTTTTCTCGCACCCTTAACATCAACCTTTTTGTAAAATTTCATATTTTCAAAATTTAGGGGTTGTCCAGCACCCCACCCCCTTGAGTGATCAGAGGAATAAAGCTGCCCCTTAACTCCAACTTTTCATCTCTCACCATTGCTCCATATTGGTGGTGCTAATCACACTTTCCCTTCTCAGCATCCAACCTCAGCCCATTTTTAAAGGCTGGTACAACTGTCTTTGTGACAGAATCTAAACTTTTAAGAGTACATAGGCAAAAAGTGGGTGAGTTTCCAGTAATTAATCTTTCTTTGTCAAGCCTGTTTGTTTTAGGTGATTTCCTAAAGCCAGCAACTTGTCCATATTCTAAGATAATATGGGCCAATCCAAATGGCTCCTGCCAACCAATCTCAAGAATTGTTTTCTTCATTCCCATTTGTCATAGGTAGGAAAGAAAAAAAAATTTTCTTGGTCAGCAAGACCACACAAAATCTCAAATTGTTTTGTTTATCCAAGAGTCATTGTACTTTCAGTTTAATTACTTACCTCTTTAGTACACCGACTCCTCAGAAGAATACAACTCAATCCTTTCTGCAATATTTTCTCCCACCCCTGCCTGCCCCCGATTAACTTGGAGATCTCAATGCCACAACTAAGTTTACACTTTTATTTGCATTTATCCACCCTCTCTGATTTGAATAACCAAATATTTGACATTATCCTCTTAGCTAATTTCAACTTCAAGTGATGACTAAAAACCAATTTAGTGAAGCTGCTAATCTTTCACCACTTGTATTTTCATTGGTATAGTCATTAAACCTCAAGTGTAATTGACTTTGCATATGCGAACATTTTCTGTTGCAATGTGCCTAAAACCTGGTCGAACTACTCACAAGCACATTCGAAGCTCTTTTTCTTTCCACATCTAAAATGGTATCAGCTATGACAAGTTCTTTTGACATTATTTGAATGTCTTAGATAAAGAATTGTCAATTATTGGTCTTAATTTTTTTTTTTATTTTTATTTTTTTTTAATTGCAACTATGAAATTGTCATCACACAATTGTTAGTAAGCAGTTTGGCTTGGAAATAATCTTCAGCAAGACTCGAACTTTCACCTTGTATCTTCAGGAGGCTACACTAAACAAGGAAGGCTACTGATTGCAAAGTATGTTGTTTTTAAT